AAAAATGTTGTATTTGATCGTTTTTATTATTCAGAAATATGCTGATAAAAGAATATTTGTAACAAAGTGCCAATAAATACAAATGGGTTAATATCACTTCTTTTTATAAGAAGTCATCAAAGATTTAGATGTATTGTTAGTAACAAAAAAAAACGAAGAGCATTTAAAAACAATAAGCGTTTTAGCTATAAAAACTAGTTTACATTAATGCAAGTCACATTGCCTTATCACTTTAAAAGCAAATCACTCGGAATTCTGACTATATTGCACTGTAGTGAAAGCACAGTTAAATTCTCACTACTCAACCGCTAAATATTAAAACGTCTGAAATAATTGAAAGATGCACATCTACGGCCTGGATCAAAGAGGGGAAGCTTGAAAAAAATATGAAAAGGTTCAATTTAGAAGTCTCTGAATGTTATTCATACTACAATCGAGAATATTTTTACCTTCTTCGAATTGAAGTTCTAGCAGTATAATGCACCTATCCACACGGCCAGGGTAGTGAAATCCTGAATTGAGTGTCTAAATGTAGGTTGCTCGTATGCTGTACTCGTCAAGAAAGTGTTTGGAGATTATTAGCACACGAAACTTACGAGTCGAGCAAGCAACGGAAGCCGAACTCATTCCAAAAATAAATATCTTCTGGGTGAATTCCTTACTGAATTTTATAAAAAAATTACAAGACTCTTTACTCAAATGCACGTCTGATTTCATTATCAGTTATTCAATAAATAGATTGAAAAATATTGACATTTAGTTAAAAAAAATAGTACGATTATTTTAACTATGTTTTTCGAAATTTAAAAGTTACTGTGCTAAGCAAATGCTACCAAAAATAAAAAACATGTTTTTGTATCTTTATTTCGAAAATCCTTTTAAAACATCAATTAATTTTATGCAAACTACAAATAAATCTATACCGAAGAGTTTTGAATAAATTATTTTATTTAATTAAAAATTAAAATTATTTAATTAAAATTACCGCTGCTTTTTATTTATAATAATTTTCCCGTTTAAAGTTCAGTTGGCTTAACTAAAAATCATTCAACTATTGCAGTAGTAGACATTTTTTTTGAACTAAAATGAATTATATACATACACATATGTACAAATATATATTAGGGGCACTTTGTAACCGCTGAAGCGATTTTCTGCCAAGCTTCTCATCCAATTTATGGTATGCGTTTGAAAAATTTAGCTTACATTTTTTTAAATTAATTTTTGAATGTCCGTCAAACCACTACTCGCACTCTGGCTTGCCGGGAGCAGTACGCAAAGCTAACCACTCGGCTATCCTGGCCGCCAAAATTACTGAGTACTTTTAAAATAATGAATCAACTTTTCTTCCATTTTGAGATGATCTTTTTAACTTTTATTAACAGAATTCGAAACTTTTGCTGTTTAATTATGACTAAATATGTTTTATAAATATTCAATAAAGAAATTTTCAGTAATAACATATCTGCGCCGAAAAAATTCATAAATTTTCTTATTTATTGTTAAAATTTATACTCACTTATGTGTGTATGTACTTACCACTTCTTCACGAAAGTCCATTACCTGGCTATTGGACTATAAAAAAAAACATTTCAAGTACTTAATTTAAAAGATGAGTTTTTTTTTTAACAATTTTGTTTTACGCATTGTTAATCAACAATCAATAATAACAAAAATATATATGAAAAAGTTTAATTTTTTACTGCATTATGCAATCTCATAGCCCGCGCAGTGAATTGCTATTGACGGATGCCACACCCTGCGGTGGCACTGTGCAGCTTCCAAGCAAATTAAAACTTTTTTATATTACACGTGTGTATGTAGGTACATAGGTAAACCCAATGCCATCAACATCAATACATGTCTGAAGTCATATGTACATATATATGTTTGTATAAATGATCTCAATGTTTACTTTATTAAAGATTGATTTCAAAGACTTGACGAATGACTAATACGAGAGTTATTTATATGAATAATAACAATACATATTTGTTGTTTGTGCATAAATATATGTATGTGTGCAGATTTGTAAAAATGTATATATTTACATACATTGTATATTCACCTGCTATAATAGAGTTGCAAACGGATTTGGCTACGTAATCTCTGAAATTAAAGAAAAGTTAAAGCAAGACATGTATTTTTTTCGTGAATGGACGCTGCTCATTTTTAATGAAACTCACGCGACGTTCATTTACGTTTGTAACTTATTTAATTTTTTTTTGTTTTGCATATTTATGTATGCATTTTTTCCATTGAAAGTTCAGGCGTTAACTAATAAACCTTAATTGAAAGTGCACCATTCACTCTAAAAGCCATTAAATGAAATTCATAATTTGAACTTATACTCGTAAACCGTTAGTTGGTTAAAAAAAAAACACTAAAACAAACAGATAAATGCTTAACTTTTACTTAAGGCAAAATAAAGAAGAAACAAATACAACTAATTATATGTTTTACTTGCCCCCATGGCGTTCAGTAATCACTAAATAAACGTCTAATTTATAATAAGCGCATAAGTGAAATATTTGAAAAAAAAAAAATAATAATAATCTCTCATAAATTTTAACTAAAAATAAATATTTGCAAGCCGGCTTAGCTAAGTGCCACCGCTTATTAGCTTATTATAATAAATGATGTTGTTGTTGGCGCTTAACGCACACGGCTAAATATGTATTTACTCCACACCTCTTATTCCTCTTTTGATAATGCCTTGCGCGCATTTATTGTGTGTTAATGGCATTGAATTGAACTCCATTTAATTACCCCACTTACAAATTTACGCATGCATGTACATAGATATAATAATGTGACGGTGTCATGTTACATATGTATGTGCATATTTTTATTTATCTCTCGAATCTCAGTTTTTATGATTCATTCGTTCAACGTTACTTGCAACTTGTTTTCGCCTTTGACTTGGCTGAATTGATTGGCAATTTTTTTTGTTGGAGAAAAAATCGCAATGGTAATGATGAAATGTTTTATTAGAAAATAAATACTTTTGCAACAATTTTAATGGGAAATGAAAATGAAATGAAATATAATTTCGAATATTATTAAATTGCCCTTGGCTACGATCACTTGGCACAAAAGACTTAAGACAGCAACTTGTAAATGATAAATAAAATTAGTGATGCTGCTAAGTGAGTGATGAAGCCTTACACATTAATTAAAGATGCATAAAATCAAAAATAAACTGATAGATTTTAAAATATTTAAATTAGCAAACGATACAAAAAAAGTTTCAAGAAAAATTTCCAAGAAAGATTTCTTGGGGAAAGTGCTTATGAAAACTTATAATATTACATTTAAGGACCTCGGAAAAAATCAATTTAATCGTATTAATGCATGAAATATTAAAAATTTCTCTGGATAAACATTCAATGATAAATCAAATAAGTAATAACATGAATAATACAAAAAAAAAAAAATCCCTGCGCATATTCATGCAAATATTTTACATCATAAACATACAAACATTCTGAAAAATCAATCTAAATTTAGGTTAAATAAAAAGAATTAATAGAGCATTAAAAAACTCAAAGAAAAGTTAATAATGCAATTTTCCTAAATATTATAATATTATTTTTATTTAAAGCAGTCAATCGCTCCCAAAAAAAGCAACAGAATATTTTTGAAAGTAAAAGAATTTTTAAATTTCCCAGGCCATATTAAAATCAGAAATAAAAGTTCAAAAATATAAAAGTAAATTTAAAAGAATTACAGCGAGATTTTGATTGAGTTTCACTTTATAGTTAATAGGAATCAAAATTCCTTAGGCAAAGTATTTTTGAAATTTTACTTAAATTGTATTAGAGCATTAATACTCTAAAAAAAAGACAACGTGATATGAATAAGACGGATTATTAGTTAAAACACTATATGAAGCTTTCTTTCATTAGAAAACTCGCAAAATGTTTAATGAAATAAATATGGGTAATATTAAAAAAAATGCAAAAAAACTAATTTATTTAATGATAAAAAGATCAGGGTTATATTCAAATTCGTAAGAAACCAAATAAACTCGGCTTATTGGGGTTTCGCCAGCCTTTTTTAATATTTCCAGAAGAAAATGTATCCTCTTTTTTCAAATTACAATGAATTTGACTTTGTGACAGGAACTGTATCTATTAATATTCATACAAACATATTTATTTTAAAAAACATTTTTTTCTTTTTTTTTTTCAATGGTTATAATTTCAAATAATATTTGAATTTCTTCTAAAATATCCAATACTAATTTTTATATATGTAAAAAATAATAAATTATTACTGCGATCACATTAAATATTTTTATTTATATTTTTAATTGTTGAAATAATTATATTTTAATTTTGTTGTAGTAATTTACATTTTACCATCAACTTACCTCTTACACACGCACGTGTCTTTAAAATAAAACACAATTAACAAAAACTAAATAAAACTTTTTATTATTTTTCTTATAAAAAACTATATATTTTTAAATAAGTATAATTTTCTGTACTAATATTTTGTGTGTATACATATTATTGTTAACATATGTATGTAGTTTGGCTATTTTCAATTAACACCTTGCTGCATCAGCATTAATTAATATTCGATTTACTAATGTTGTTTTTAGACTATTTACAGCAACTTGAAGCAGTTACACATACGAATACACATTCATACACAAATTGCAAAAGCCGAAAAACCCACGCACAGAAAATTAAAGAAAAGCACGCAAATTTTCAATTAAATAGACGTTGAACCAAAAATAAATAAAAATTACACAAAACCTATTTTAAGCGACACGCAAAACACATACATAAAACACCAAAAAAAACCGCATATCCCTTCTTACATAACTGCCTCCTCCAGCCAAGCACATACATCCGTCCATCACTTTCCTTTTCCTCGTTCAAAAACCAAATTCTTGTTTCAACACGTAAACTCCACCACTTCCTCAGCGCAGTATTTCTTTCCCTCCATTAAACTTTTTGAAACGTAAATAATTATCATGCGCAACTTAGGCACTAACGAGCGAGCTTATTTTGTGTTCCATCGTCTTTCAGGTTCGCACACCGACTGCAACAACGACGATTGTAACAACAATCCCCGCAGCCGCAACGACGCAGACGCGACGACCAGTGGTGAGCGTACGCCGGCGCAAAATAAATTTACCGAACGGTTCATCAGGTATAGCTTACCAGACGGCTACGACGTCGCAGCAGACAGCAGGAGCAACAAAAGCAACAGTGACAGCAACAGACACATACGCTTCGACATTAAAAAGTGATGAGCAGCTGGCAGTAATAGCAACAACTTCGGAATTACCAACGACCTTTAATAAACAACAACAACAACAGCAATTGCGTTACCGCAATAAACTCGTAACACCAGCCGCAACAGCACTAACAACAACTACAACAGCAAATACCGATCTAACCGCACCAATAACGAGCACTTCATCATCATCATCATCATCATCATCACCATCATCGACATCAACACAACAATTTACAGCAGCAGCAATTACACTCAACAACGCCGTCAACAATCAGAAGAGTTATTTAACAAATACAAAGTATAGACTGAAGCTACCAGCAGCAACATTATCAACGGACGGCGCTTCGCTGGCGACTGTGACCGCAAATGACGAAGGTGCAGCATCGACTGTGCCAACCACATTAGCCAGCAATCACATCATACAACAACAGCACCAACAACAAATTAACACCAACACCAAACAACCGTCGACTGTTTTGCGTCGAAAATTCCAAACACGGCGTCTCATTACAACAACAACGTTGAGCCCAACAGACGACAGCGGTGAGTGGCAAATAATAAAAAGTAAACAACTTTATTTATGTTAAGACAATAAAAGCGTACACACATATATGCATACATATGTATATAGATTTACACATACATAAAGGTATATGCATTTATAAATTATAAATGTTGCTCAGCAACATGTTTAAGGAACATTTTATCCATATTAAGTGGGTTACCTGCTCGAAAACGCTTACTGAATACATATAAAAATATGTACATAAGTGCGCTCTCGTACATATTTATATGCGAGAGGGATATTCATTGTAGATGCTTTTTCAAAAACAATTTAATTAATATCTAAAACACATTTTCGCCCGGACTTTAAACACGGCAAACAATATCCGGGTGAAAAAAAATGAGTTTACTCAAACCGAAAACTCTACAGATTTACGTGATGGATCTGATTTATAAGTTCCATTGACGGAAGCCTTCTTCTTCTTACTAAATCGCTGTAGAGGAGAAACACCTGGCGATGGCGAACTCTAGTACCCAACGATGATGATGGAATAGATGTTCCATCAACCGGCAATGATGAAGTCCAAGCACGTATTCATTGCTTGTTTAACGAACAACAAGGGTCTGTTAGCTGAGCTATACAAATATGGCGGTGAAAAACTGACTAAGTGCATGCATCAACTTCTATGATTGCTCGAAAGCATGATTGGAAGTGTGTTTTGACCAAGTCAAAAAAAGGGTATTATCCATCACCAATACGCCAATTATCGTTAGATATGCATATCTCCTCAATATCGCATATAAGGTCTTATCAAGTCTACTCTTTCACACAGTACACTTGATAAGCAAAAACAATAAAGCAAACATTTAACGAGTGGACCTTATAAGACCTAGTAAATCTATAACTAACCAGATATTCATAATGCGCAAAATCTTTTATTTTTTTTAATATATCCCTGAGAAAAGGATGGGCATATAATACCTATTCGTCGATTTTAAAGCTGGACTACACACTTCTGAATTTAGTATCCCCTCAAAACTTATACGGCTGAGTAAACCGACTTTGAACAACACCAAAAGCTCCGTCAGAATCGGAAAATATCTCTCTTAGCCTTTCGATACTAAAAGAAACCGAGAAGGTAGAGTTCGATAGTTCTGCTTTCTCCAGAGGGGATCAGTAACATGGCGAATGGGTCTGGTAGTAGATGAGAACTGGACGAAATATCTTCTGTCATACAATTTAGAGCTCTTACGTTTGTTTTTCCACTGCACTATTGGATTGTCAAACCTTAAAGTCGTAGATAATTTCAACTATCTTCGAAGAAGGTTCAACACCAACAACAATGTAAGCTTTGAAATCCAATGCAGAATTACTTTTGTCAACAGAGTTTGCTTGTTACCAAACTCTATAGCCGCTCCCTCTCATTTAATACAAGTGTATGATGGGACTGCGTGGACGCTGACAACATTCCATGAGTCGGTCTTAGCACTTTTTGAGAGAAAGATTTCGTGGAATATTTATGAGCATTTGCTGATAAAAATAAAGTGTACAAGCTATCTGGCGATATTGACATAATTCAGCGAATAAGGACACCGCGGCTATGATGGCTCGTTCAACTCATCCGAACAGCTGTAAACACAGTACAGCTTTGAAAGTATTCAATACAATGCTCGCTAGTAGAAATAAAGGAAGAGGAAGGCCGCCCCTCTAACCGGGCTAGGTCAAGCGGAGAGAACCTCCGTTCAGTTGGTGTTTCCAACTGACAATGTTTTGAGTTTAGATTACTATAAACACCATTTCCGTTTTTTACCAATGTTTACATGTTCCTTAGGAGTGTGTGAAGCTCAACATTCTAATGTAATAAAGACCAACTGGGAACAGATACCTCTTGAAAACCTTTTTCCATAGACATATCTTCTTTTCTTCAGCTTTTCAACTAATTTTGAATTAAATTCCATGAAGGTTTAATAAAATTGTTTGGAATGTGGAGAGATCCATTATTGAAAAAATTTACAGTTACTTTAAGATACAGGATACAAGAGATAATTGTGCTCTACAGAAGGATTGTTAAACAAAAATCAGATCAAGAAATTTGCACGAAAGACAAATTAGTGGTAGCTGAACACGTATTACTATGTTTCTATTACTTATTCTAACAAATTCAAAAACTGTGCAGCATAATTCCCTCTGAAATAATTTCTACATTCGCCAGTGTTGACTCACGCGTACATTCATCGATTTGGCATTTACTTGTGTCACAAAGAGAACTGGATTTTATTTTCTATTTTAGAATCGTGTTTTTAGGTGGGTGAATTTTCATTGATTTTCTGTGAGCAGCGCGTCACCCCGAATCACCATTCTTTGGTATGCGCAACAGCATTCCGAAACAAACTGCAGTTAGCAATCAAAACCAAGTGCACATGTACCGTAAATTGGAATAAGCTATAAATGCTTGCATACTTATGTATATTAGCATGTATTAAACATATTTTTTGATATACGAGGTGTGTTCAAGAAGTATCGCGAATTTTGAATTTTCGTGGGTTACGTATAATCGAATTTCGATTTTTTGTGGCGTTAGGTACTCATGTCTGTCACTTGAATGTTGACTTATGTTGACAGCTGCTTTGCTTGCACGTTTTTTGGATGGTCTTCAATTTTTACCTTTTCAAACAAATCGATCAAAGAACCTGTATCAAATTTTGTGTGAAAAACGATATTAAGTGCGCGGATGCATTCCGAATGTTGACTGTAGCATACGGAGAAACTACCTTGGACCGAAGCAACGTTTATCGGTGGTACAAAATGTTCTCAGAAGGCCGAGAAGATGTGAACGACGAAGAGCGTGCCGGAAGCCCGAGCACTTGAACAACAGACGAAAAAATTAATTGCAGGGGCGTAGTGCATCATGAGTTCTTGCCACAGGGTAGAACGGTCAATAAGGAATATTACCTGCAAGTTAAGCGCAATTTGCGCGAAGCAATCCGCCAGAAACGCCTGGATTTGTGGAAGAACTAAAATAGGCTTTTGCACCACGATAACGCCCCTGCTCACACATCGTTGCTTGTGCTCGACTTATTGGCCAAAAACAACACACTAATGATGCCGCAGCCACCGTATTCCCCAGATCTGGCCCCCTGTGACTTTTTCTTGTTCCCTAAACTGAAGAGGCCCATGAAAGGACGACGTTGCGCTACGATTGACGAGATAAAGACGGCATCGAAGGAGGAGCTGGACAATATAAAAAAATGATTTTTTGAAGTGCTTCGAAGATTGGAAAAACCGTTGGCACAAGTGTATAATATCTCATGGGGATTACTTTGAAGGGGACAAAATAGATATTCATGAATAAATAAATAATTTTTGAAAAAACACAAAATACGCGATATTTTTTGAACACACCTCGCATTATATATTAATGCACATGTACATATGTATAATATGCAATGGATTGATTTATGCTGATAAGACGAGTATGTGACTTGAATCGGTTAAAATTTAGTTATAAAGGGTGCAGATATTGGAGACAAGTAAAGTTAATTTAAAATATAATAAAAAATATGTTGATGATTAAAATCGATCTGCTAAACAGTGCTTTTGTCACACGAGCTTTTTGATGATTTGTTTATCGCAGTGTACGCTGATTAGAAATGTTTAATCATTTCATTTCACATCGAGGTTTTTGTGGCTCCCACACATTCATTTCTAAACTTACTTACATTTCTTTCTGGGATTAACTTGATTTCGGCTGTTCGTTCGATGTTCGACTGTAAAACTATTGCATTCAATTAACTTACGTTAATTACTTTGTAAATATCCCTTGAAGTTCTAAGCTTCTGATAAGTGTGTGGAGAATTGACTTTTAAACCGAAATGTCAGAATTCCACATCATTACTTGAGCATTGCTATTTGGAATCAAAATAAATCTTGGGTTCCTAATAAATTCTGTGTAACGTGTGTGAGAGTTCTGTTAGATTGATCTAAAGAACAGCTAATACATTTTCCTTTTGCTATACCTGTGATTTGGACGGAAGCAAAGCATCTCGCAAGGGCCAAAGGGCCTTTCTAAAGTGCCCTCCCGACTATGCCAAAACCTCCAAATCGATAAAACCAGTTTCTCAAGATAGAAAGCCAAGATATAAAGAAAAAAAAATTAAAGAGGGTATTTTTGTAGATCCCCTAATACCGCAACTGATAAAGGGCACCTTTGAAGGCAAAATGAAAGATCAGGAAAATGAATGTTTTTCATTTCATTTGCTGTGATTGACGAACAAGGTGAGACGTTCCATTAGAACATTTCCTTAAGGCAAATGGGTCAAGGTAAATGGAGTTCAGGATTGCTAGCAGATAATAGTTGTCAGTTTTCACTGGTTAAGAAAGGATTTTCGGGGAAGTGGACCTGGAACTGAGCTAGTCGAAAAAATTTCGCTTATGTTTGAAACGTTTGATTTATGGAACATGGCACAGGTAAGTGTTCGCCTAAATTGGCATGTAGAACAGTTGTTCTTTTGCGAAGTGTTGAGCTGTATTACACTGCCCAAAAACAAAGCCACTCGGCTGTCACAACCTGTCTTATGAGAGCGCCATGTAAATGGAAAAGTTACCACCGCTTATCGATGCCATTACTGGGGCTCGCCAAGTCGAAACCAGCGTTGATTAGATTTTTCCCGAAAATCAACTCAGTTTATTTTACAAAGTTGTCTTTTGTAAATAAATTCAAATAATTAAATGAATGCTGAAATCGTAATTATTTACTTATTATAATACAGTTCATTTGAAATTTGTTGACTAAAATTATAAATTTTCGTAAAACTACACAAGCACAATGACAGCTGGGAACAGTTTGAAACCGCAAGCAACGTTGATAGCTTGTAACTAAATATCCCTCTTCCATTCGGGTTGTACAGCTGGGAGGTATGTAAAATGGCTAGTTGGGCTAATAGACTTACTTTGATAGTCCACCCGTGTTCATTGCTAGGATACAAGAAGTAGGAAGGATTTCAATTAATTAGAGAAGCTAAGCAGAGTAGAGTTTGAC